TGTCGAAAGTGAAAATGCAAAAATTAGAGCTGCTTACCACCAAAATGTAGCCGGAATACTGGTAAACTTCGTGTCTGGTTCATCTTTTTCGAGGAAATAAATTAGTGTAGAGAAGAATATCACGACAGTGATCATTACCACACCAACCATTTGCATTTGCTTCTTAGATTTTCGTATGGTAAGAGCGAAATTTGCCAAACCTTAAGGATTTTAATTTTATGGCTTTTGAGCAAGCGTCAAGCACTAGGTTTAAAGATCTAACCGGGTGAAAACCGGCCAAGTTTGGCTATTCGAATCACTCGGAGTACTCGAAGAAGTCGAACAGTTAGAAAGGCCCAGCGAACCTTCCGCACATTTTCGCCAGATATTCCGCACTGAAAGAGTTAAGTCATTATTTCAGCGTGAATGATTTTTTTTAACATGAAATAAAAATCTGTAGTAGTAGACGTTTAAGATAGCTGAACATCGTGCAAATTCATTCTGGCTTAAAGTGGGCGTGGCATAGCCCCGTTCAGGCCACGCCCCTTTCAACAGTTTCTTCGGTACTTACAATTTCTATGGCCATTACCGGTACATGGATAACATCTGATCTTATGAGATAAAGGACAAAACGATTGCGTTAACGTGTAACTATTAACATGCACTAAAAACCCTACAGTTCAAGGCAATTTTTGTTATCTTGAGGATTAAATAAGAACTAACCAGCCATAATAACATTTCGAAGTAGAACGGAGCTATAGATAACAGATCAATAACGTTGAGAAATTGTCGAGCAAATGCCAACTTTCTTGGAGCAACAAGAAATCGAAGTAGATATTCAAGCGAAAAGTAGACGACACACACGTTCTCAACCCAAGTGAACACGGGATGTTCGGTCATCTCCACCTAAAGAGAAATATACCTTATTTGGTTAATTGACCATACAAAGCGGTTTTTTACCTGCTGCTCGCCTCCTTCTCTAATAACAGTTCTGGACTCGACTGTCATGCCTCCACCAGAATTCGGGTAAGTGGGGTAGGTTGCTGTGGCGTAAACCTAAAAGAGTAGGAATTTCCTTTTGGTTCCTATTATCTCATGCACCTAATTACAGCCTTCTGCGATTGTATAAGCTGCACCCAATAACTTCAATTGCCAGCATCACGTTTGTTGCAAAAAAAGCATGTTAAAGGAAAGGAAGGTTGGCCGACCTAACTATTTTAGAAAAAAGGTGCACCGTTAGCTGCCTCAAAATTATTCTAAATTTGTTTTTTATAACTAATAAATGTTTCTGAGGAAAGTTGCGAGCGGTTTTCTCAACAAAATTGCAGCTCGGGTGAACGTGTGGCATAAATTTTTGTGGTGGACGTTACCGGCTAACGGTTTGCCTATGAAAAGGACACTCAAGACTTCGGACCTTGCCAAATATTGACCAAGAATCATCATCACATATGACTGCTATCTAAATTAAGGTCCATCTAGTTGTTCGCATTTGAATTTACTTGGGCTGCAGCATATACATTCCAATTTAGAGCAACTAAATTAGAATCACACAGATCTGGTATTATGAACTATTAATTGAAAAGTTTTCCACAAAATATTGGAAAAAAGAGACTAACAGATTCGGAGTGGGGAGTTTTATTGGACTGGTAGACGTTCTGAAAAGTTTTAAAGGGAAATATCTTGCGCTGAGTTAGGCAATTGTGGACTAATAGAATTGGAAGGATTGAAAAAAAAGTTAAAAAGACGGAAATCCAAAATTTATCTGGAGGTTTGGTTTCAATACTCGTAGCAAACACTGAAAAACAATTGAGACAGAACAAATGAGAAATCGTGGACTTGAACCTTCAAGCTTACAACGAAATCACATAATTGCACTGACCACAAGTACAAGAATATCTCTATTTTCTAAGAGGATAAGAAACGTACCAATTGCCCATCCTCTGTCTTTTGAGGGACTTGAAATT